GGGGGGGGGGCTCAATTCGGAAACAGGAGTAGCCCGCGCCCACCGGGTTGCCGGGGAGGTGGAGGCTGGCATAATTTGGATTAACGACCACCACCGGCTGCACCCGGGCATTCCCTGGGGCGGTTTCAAGGACAGCGGCTTCGGCAGGGAGGGCAGCTTCGATTTTATCCACGAATACACGGCGCCAAAATACGTCTGTGTTCGCATAGAACCCCAGGGATTCGACTGGTACGGCACCACCGGCCCGGGGCAACGGCTGAATTAACCCTTCACCAAAGCTGAGGCGCAAAGTTTGACTCAGCTTCCACCAAATCCTTGACTTCCGAAAGGGCAGCCCTTGTGGCTGTCCATCCTTATGCCGGTTCTTCCACGGAACCTTGAGCAACCTCACTCTTCCGGTAGTAACACCCTCCCCCTTTTGGTAGAATAGCCACGGTCATACCCCAATACACTGGGAGGAATTCGCATGACGCTGCATTACGATGGCGAGGTAAAGATCGCCAAGATTAACATGGGCCCCTATGACAACAACGGTTATATCGTAATTTGCCCCGATACCAACGAGGGCATCATCATTGACACCCCCGCCGAACCGGAAAAGCTCATCAACGAAGTGGGCGACGTCCAGATCAAGGCAATCCTGATCACCCACAAACACCAGGACCACCTGCTGGGCTTTGCCGAGATTACCGGCGCCATCGGCGCTCCCGTGGCAGTGCACGCCAACGATGTGGACGGCCTGCCCCGCGCTCCGGAAACGGTACTGAACGACGGCGACACTATTCTTTCGGCAACCTGCAAGCCCAGGCCATTTACACCCCCGGCCATACTGAGGGAGCCACTTGCTACCTGGTGGGGAACCACCTCTTCTCCGGCGATACCCTGTTCCCTGGCGGTCCCGGAAAGTCCCGCAGCCCCGAGGCCCTTCAGCAGATCCTGAACAGTGTCAGCGGCAAGCTGCTCACCCTGCCTGACGAAGTTGCCGTCTATGCCGGTCACGGCGCGGTGGATACTACCATTGGCGAGGCTCGCCGCCGCTATCAGGTCTTTACTTCCAAGTCTCATTCACCCGACCTGTGTGGCGACATTGACTGGCTGGAAACCGAGTAAGTCCTTTAGATACCTGGATACTAATCACTGATAATACTCCAGGAACGCCCAAACCCGCTCATCCTGGGCTTGTCGAAGGATGCACTCCAGATCCCTCTAATTCGATGAGCCGGATGTGAGCGGGTTTTTCTGGTGTTTTCGAGTTCCCTGAAATGGGCCAATTAAATCGAGGTGAAGATGTTTCAACGCTCCGTCCTGGGTAACCAACTGCGGGTCCTGACCTCCGCCATGCCCCACTCCACGTCGGTTTCCGTTACCATCAGCGTGGGAGCCGGTTCCCGTTATGAACCCGATGAACAGGCTGGCCTGTCCCACTTCCTGGAACATCTTCCCTTTAAAGGGTACGGAAAGCTGGCCCACGGCCCGCCACGTCAGCGAGGCTATTGAAGGCGTGGGCGGCGTGATGAACGCCAGCACCGATCGGGAAGTAACCGTATTCTGGTGCAAAGTTTCCCGCCTCCATTTCCAGCAGGCCTTTGCCGTGTTGCTCGACATGGTGTTGCACCCACTGCTTGATCCCGCGGAAATGGAAAAGGAGCGGGAGGTTATCCAGGAAGAGTTGCGGATGACCTATGATTACCCCTCGCACCGGGTTGATTTGCTTATTGACGAGCTGCTTTGGCCGGAGCAAGCCATGGGCCGGGACGTGGGTGGAACCCTCGAATCCGTGAACAACATTGTCGTTGACCAGGTCCGCGAATACATGCTACAGCAATACAACCCGGCCAATACCGTAATTGCTGTGGCAGGCAACGTTGACCACGACGAAGTGGTGGAGTTGGTGAATGAACCCACCCACCACTGGCAACCCAAAGAGTCCTTAAACTGGCAGCCAGTGGTTGACTACTACGCCGACAAGGGCATCGGTTCGGTGGCGCGGGTGGAACAAAAGCAATCCGACCAGGCCCACATCTGCCTGGGGTTGCCCGGCATTTCTCTGACCGACCCCGACCGCTATGCCTTTCAGCATCCTCAACGGGGTGTTGGGCGACGGTATGAGCAGCCGCCTGTTTCTGAACCTGCGTGAGGAGCAGGGCCTGGCTTACGACGTCGCCAGCTCGCTGAGTCACTTTCGGGACTGCGGTTCCCTGGTGGTCTATTGCGGGTTGAACCGAAGAAGACGCGCGATGCCGTCAGGGCGGTGGTGGCCGAAATAAGTGGTATGCGTGAGGAGGTCCCGCCGGCGGAACTGCACAAGGCCAAGGAATTTACCAAGGGTCGGCTGATGCTGCGTATGGAGGACACTCGCTCAGTAGCCGCCTGGCTGGGCGCGCAGGAACTTCTGCTAGGGCAGGTTTCCACGATAGATGAAACAGTGCAGAAGATTGACGACGTTACTTCCGAGGATGTTGCGCGAGTCGCGGAGAGAATGCTGGACCCCGACAAGCTCCGCCTGGCCGTGGTGGGCCCCCACCGCGGGGAGAAGACGTTGCAGAAGATGCTGAAGTTCTAGGCCGGTACGACACCCGTTAGCGGCTTGACTTGGACAAGAGCGCTCAATTGAGGCTCAAGGCTCCGTGCCAGCGAAGACCAGTTCCCGAAAGCGACCCAATAAGTAAGCCACCCCCATACTTTCTGGGAGTGGCTTATCCTTATGGTAGCCAATTGGTTACGGGCGGTCAACCTACTTGAACACCGCCAGGCACTTGGGGGCGTTGAAGCTCCAGCACTCCGCCCATTCCAGGTAGTCGGGACGGCGGTCAAGCTCGGCCATGGCGCCCACCAGGCATTGCCAGTTCAGTGTTTCCTGCTGCCCTGAATTCTCAACCTGGTGCAGCGTCCAGTTCTTCCAGGTGTCGTACTCGCCCTTGCGCAGGGCTTCCAACAGCACCCGGTCGGCTTCCAGATCGGGATAGACCCAGCTATTCTTCTCGGTCAGGAAGGCATGGGACCAACTGGAGGATGCCATCAGCACCACACGATAGGGACTGTCAATCAGGGCCCGGGCCGTGGCCTGCCCCACCTCGAAGCACCGGCGAGGGGTGGGCGAAGGCGGGTCGAGTTCCTCTTCAAAGACTTCGGCACCACCACGCATCCGTACCACGTTGCTGCCGTAGCAGTTTACCGCCACGGGCAGCACCGGATAGTTAAAGCCTTTGCGGTCCAAATCAAGGAACAGCAAGGTGTTGGCAAAGGCGTGACCCAGACCGGCCTTCTCGTGCAACGGCTTGTAGGCGTAGGCCATGTCCACACCCTGCTCAATCAGTCGGCGGGTCAGGTAGCGGCCTGCCGCCTGATGGCCGGGGACGCTGAAAACCTTGTCCTTGGGCTCGTCCCAGACATTGGGCCGATCGCCAATGCGGTGGTAGGGCTGGAAGTCAATCTGGTCGTAGGCCAGGACACAGAAGGGCGGGATAATGTCTTCACGGAAATTTTCGTACTGGTCGTCGCCCCAGAGCACTATAAAGTCGGGGTTGAAGGCATCTATTTCTTCGCGTAGCTTCCTGAACGCATTGAATACCTTGGCGCGGTGAGCCTTGTGGGCAGTAATTCCCTCGTCATTGCCCCACTCGGCCTGCATTTCTGCCGGCCAGTTGGCTGGGTTCTTCATATGCTCAGGAATACGGTTGGTCTTCAACATCCGGATCAAGGGCCAGGGCTTGTATTCGTCGGGCACCAATCCCGGGGGATAGTGAGTGGCGCCAATACCAAGTATTTCTCCCATGAAAACCTCCAAGGAGGCAGCTTCCTGCCCACAAATTCGACAATAACGGTAGTTTGACCGTGGCTGGAATTATATGTGCGGCCTGCTGGGGTAGTCAACAAATGGTGCCGCCTACTGGCAGGCATAGCCATATTTCGCTGGTGAAGGGACAGTCAGCCAACAGAACCCGAGGCATTCCATTTGAGGCGGTGTGAAGTAACCGACTCACCCTGAACCGGTCGTCACATCCTTTCCTCAGACTCCACCAGAGCCTCTGCGCGAGGACGGTCCTCCTCCGAGGTGGACAACGTTATCGTGGCGAACCCATCCTTCCGGTCCATGATGTGCACGCTCCGGATATTGATACCCGCGTCGCTGAACCGCTGCGCAATCTTGGCCAAAGCCCCGGGTTCATCCTTCAGCCGGATCAACATGGCATCATCGGTGACGGCGGAGTAGCCGGCATCGGCCAGCGCCACCAAAGCCCCGTCGGTATCGTCAGTGCTGATGACGATAGTGCCGTGTTCCCCGTTCACCTGGGTGTTGATGGATTGCAGGTTGATGTTGGCCTGTGCCAGAATGCTGGTGATGTGCGAAAGCACGCCAACCTCATCCCGGGCCATAATGACGATGCGCTCCAAGGACATTCCTCCTATTCAAAACCACTGGAAAATTACTATAGGCTAAACCTGAACCGCTGCCAGGCAGTCGTCAACCAACTCATCCACCATGTCTCGGGTTACATGTGGCATGGTAATAAGGTGGGCGATATCGCGGTGAGGCGCAAGCTGCCACTTTGTCATAACATCCTGGGGTGGCCTGGGGAAAATCACGGTTACCGAGTTCGGGTTACGCCAGGCCGGCAACCCGCTATCGTTGAATCGTTCCTCGGCGTACTCGGCGACTGCTAACATCCCGGATACCAATTCCCTGAAACCCTCTTCACCGTAACGTTCCAGAGCATACCATAGCAGCAGGGGAGTCCAGGCGTTTCGGGATCCCGGAATAGTGGTATCCATAACTCCCACAACCTCAACTGAACGCGCGATCCTGGCTACGTATTCCTTCCTGGTCAACACCACTCCGCACGGAATGGGTGAGCCAATCAGCTTGTGCCCACTGACCGCCAGGCTGTCCGCGCCGGCGTCGAAGCCGAAGGGCTGCGGGTCTGACACAAAGGGCAGAATCATGCCACTGAGGGCGGCATCGGAGTGTATGTACGACCGGGTGATTACCAGGTCCTGCAGGATTTCCCGCACCTTCACCAAGTCATCCACCGCTCCTTTCATGGTGGTGCCAATGTTGGCCATTATTATTACAGGCACGTCACGGTTGATGCGGATGGTCTCGTGCAGGTCCTCGTAGTCTATCTCCCCATTTCCCAGGCTCTTGATCATGATGTTGCGCATGTTAAGCACTTGCATGATCTTGAGGATGCTGTAGTGGGTGTCCTGGGAAAAATAGACCACACCGTTGGGGTGCAGTTCCCGCGCCATGTAAAGGCCATACATATTCCCCTCGGTGCCTCCGGTGGTCACATAGCCCCAGGCATCTTCGGGGTCAAGGCGCATCAGGCCGGCGAATTTGGCAAATTACCTCCCGCTCTATTTCGTGGCAATTGACACGGTAATTGGTGCCATGAAAAGGGTCGCCCACGTTATTGGCGTTGTATTTCAGGAAAGGCAGAATCTCGTCGTAGTTAAAATTGAAATTGGCCGGATAGCCCAGCATGTGGGACGACGCATCCTCGAAGGTTTGCTGCAAGGCAGTCAGGCGTTCTCTGGCTTCCTCGTTTAACGGTTTCAACACCACCCTCCTCCCTGTTGATTCCGGCGCGCTGGGTAGCTGCGCTTTCTTGATTGGACTGTACCGATTATACCATTCGAGGTATTTGCGACTTCCTGAACTGTAAGGACAGTGAAGCCTGGACTCCCAGGCAAAGCAACTATGACTTACGAATCCGCTCTTATCTGGAAGCAATCCGGGACCACTGGCCCTTCAATACAGGGATCATACACAAACACAGAGGGCGGGTACAAAACCCGCCCCCAAAGATGAACTCCAGATCCGGAATGAAGCGCTAGACGTTCAACTCGAGAATGTACAATCCGCCCTTCAGCCGGTCAACAACGTACATAATGCCATTCTCGTCCACGTACACGTCGTTGATACCGTTGGAAGCAGCCCCCTCGGGAATCTCTGGTACAAAGTAGGCCACCTCTTCCGGCCGGAAGGGGTCGCTGGTGTCGTACACTCGCACCCCGGCGTTGAACAGGGTTGCGAAGATCAGGGTGTCGGAGAAGAAACAGGTGGGCCCGGGCTGATTCTCGTACACGTTGTGGGCGCCAAACCTGCCGGGCCGGTTGAAGAAGTCATCGGTGTCCGGCATGGGCAGTGTGCTGATTATGACGGGGTTAGTCTCGTCACGGATATCCATCATCCACATCAGCTTGGGGTAGTCCTCGCCACCCACCCGTACCGCCTCCTGGGTCACCAGCATCAGGTCACGATTAAACAGGGGCAAAACGGTGTGAGTGAATCCGGGGAATGGCGGGGCATAGTTGATGTGGCTGATCATCTTGGGATTGGACTTGTCTTCAATGTCCAGGATCATAACTCCGGAGTCCATGTAGGCACAGTAGGCCCGGTCCGGCCGCTCCGGATAGACGTTGCCGTTGTGCAAGCGGTGACCGGCGTCGAACTGGGGATGGCGGGCCGGCATGGGCTCCGCGTCGCCTTCCCTGGTGCCTGGGAACCACCAGCGCCCGGTTTCCTTCGGCGAAGTGGGGTCGGAAACGTCCACAATCATGTAGAACTGATCGTCCTTCTGATTGCGGGGCTGGAAGTCAGCGGCGCCGGTGGAAAGATGGGCATAGTTGCCCTCCGCCCACCAGAGGCAGTGGCAGCCGCGGGAGTATTCGCCGCCCAGATCCATGAAACCAACCTGCTGCGGCTCCTCCGGGTTGCTGATGTTGTACACGCCCATACCCGTGCCAGGCTGACCTGGCTCCAGGGACTGGTAGGCCACCAACATGGTGTCGTCCACGATGGACAGCGAGTTGGAGCGGAGATGACCGTAAGCCAACTCGGTCTGAGCCAGTACCTTCGGGTTGCCGATGTCGGTGACGTCAACGCTGGTGATGTCTTTGGGTGCGCTTTCATGGGCCAAATAAAGGACGCGGCGGCCGTCACGGGTCTGGTGCAGGTGAACGCCCTCGCCGATATTGCCATAGCCGTTCAGGTCATGGTGAGAGATCAGGCGCATATTCCTTATCTCTTGAGTTTGTGTTGCCATTTTTCCTCCAAATCAGTTAAACCCAAAGATCCTCGAAGTTTCAGGCGGGATCCTATGGTCTGCAAATTAAGCGGCATCGTGGGAGCGGGGTTATGGGACCGAACTACCCTGCCCCTGAAGTTACATCGTGGATAATATCACAGTTGCCAACAAGAGGCCTCCAGGGCAGTGCCCGGGAGGCCGATCTTACCATTTGGTTTGTCCTGTGAACGTGTCAGGACGGGGTCACAGGCCTGTGGCTACTGGGTTGCCTTGAGCAGGTCCCAGTGGCTGGTCTTGGAACCGGCAGTGCCGGGGAAGGTCCAGCTTGCCACTACTTCGGGATTGAACGTCACCTGCAAGGTGAACCAGAAGAAGGGGACATCGGCGAAGTTGTAGAACTTGTCGTCACCCACTTCCAGTATCAATTGGTGAATCCGTTCGTTGTCTACAGAAGCCAGACCCTGAAACTCTGCGTAATTTGCTCGATTACGTCGGAGTAGTAGCCGGATCCGCCAACTCCCTGAGCGGAACTCCAGCTCCTCAGTCGGTTGGTAAGAGAGCGCATGGTGATTACGATTGCCCCCAGCTTCTTGATGAAGTCGGTTCCTGGGCCCGCGGTACGTCTCTAGCGGACCGTACCCCATTCGCTGTCCAGCAGGTACGTCATACGCCGATGGGCTGCCGATATTGGATGCATGGCCTCCAGCATCACCGCCGTTTCCGGTTCGTCGGACGAGAAGTAATTATAGGAAGTGAAAGGCATCGGGTTCTCGGGGGTGTAGCCGGCCTGGGCCATCAGTGCCGCGGCCGCCTCCGGGTCGTAGCCATACTGTTCTCTTCCCATCTGTCTTCCCACTCTGCTTCGTTCAGAGCGCCCAGGACCGGGTGATACTGGGTCAGCAGCATCAGGCTGCCCTGGCCCTTCAGGACGTGGTCGAGCATCTCCTTCCCGGTTGACTGCGCTGTTCATCGCTTTGGCGGATATAGGTAATCAGGTCGTAGCTCGCCGCTGCTCCGGGCTGGCCCAGGCACGTTGGTGATCGTACTCATCCTGTAGGCCGCCTTCAGTACTGCCCGCCCAGACCATCGTCATAGTAATCGAGTCGCGCGCCGGCCTCGCAGACGTCCTATGCCCCGCCGTTCGGCCTCCAACTGCAATTCACGAGACAGAGCAGCGATATGGATCTCGCCGGTTAGCAAGGCGGCCAACCGGGTCAGATCTTCCCGTACCCAGCGCAGTTCTACTTCATTGAAGTCCGGGTTCTCCCCGCGCCAGTGGGGCTGAGGGGCTTTTTCGACCAGATGTTCTGGGCCTGAGTACGGCCACCGTACATGTAAGACCCGGTGCCAGCGGGCTTTTCGTCGAATCCTTCTACTCCTACGGTGTCGAACTGGTTCTTGCTCAACATCATAATTTCACCGCCGCCAAAGCCGCGGGAAAGGATAGCTGGCGTATCCAGAGAAATGGAAGTGAAGTTGATTTCAACAGTGTAGTCGTCCGGGGCGGCATAAGTTGCCCCTGTGAAGAAGGAAGGCGCCGAAACCTGCGAATCATCGCCCAGAATACGATCAAGGGATGCTATCGCGTCGGCAGACGTAAATTCGCCATAACCGAAGTGGAAAGGTACTCCTTCTTGCAAATTGAACGTCCATACCCGCCCGTCGGGACTGGAATCCCAGCTATTTGCCAGGCGAGGGATCCGTGCATTAGTGACCGAATCAATGCCAACCAGGGTTTCCGAGTAAGGGTCAAACTGGTAGTAGGAGGGACGACCCACGGTCCAGTGCCGGTTGGTCTCCTGCACTTCACCCAAGGCGTAAATCACCCGGTCTACCTTGGCTTCCACCGGTCCCTCTGAGACCGGAATTGGAGTAGGAGTGGCAATGACCGTCCTTTCAACAACGGTCTCCTTGGGTATTTCCTTAATTACCTCTACCTCTGTAACAACTTGAACTTCCTTGATGACTTCTTTCTCTACCTCAACAGGTACTTCGACTTCACGAACTACCTCTACTTCCTTGGGAACCTCTACGGTAACCTCTTTGACGACCTCTCTTTCTATCACCTCGGGAGCCGAGGTGCCGCAGGCCACAACGAGGGCCAGGATGAGTACCAGTGAGCTAACGAGTAGTGCTCGCGACTTACTTAACCAGAACGCCATTAACAGTTACCTCCCAAAGCCAAAATTGGGTTCCCGATTTCCCGGGCACCAGGCAGACGCCACCGTGCCCGACAGCCTGACAGAGTATAGGCCGTTCATTTTTCGGCTGTCAATTAACTATTTCCATACGAATTAAAGTCTATAATTGCCGCATATTCGTAATATTATCTTTATTACTTATTGCTAAGCTCAAATATTAAAGGGCTCCCGAGTTTTCGGAGGCCTTCATTACTTCCTGCGAAGTTGGGTTTGACGATTAGCGCGTCATCCCTAATCTCTATTGCGCTGCCCTCAACAGGTTCCAATGGCTGGTCTTGGAACCAGCAGTGCCCGGGAAGGTCCAACTCTCCACCACATCGGGGTTGAACATCACCGTCAACCGGAACCAGAAGAATGGAATGTCGCCAAAGTTGTAATACCTGTCGTCACCCACTTCCAACATCAACTCGTTAATTCACATCCCAATCTACCGTACCCAGGGCTTGGAATGCGGCATAGTTACGTTCGATCACCTCAGAGTGGTAAGCTCCGCCGGTACCGCCAGCCGAGCTCGAGTTGCGCAGGTGGGTAGTTAGAGCCCGCATGGTGATGACGTTACCCCAACCGCCCTTCTTGATGAAGTCAGTCCGTTCCCTGTAGTTCTTGCGAACCGAGCCCCATTCACTATCCAGCAGAGTCACGTCGATTCCCACAGGCTCCCAGTAGTTAATCAAGGCCTCGAGCATCACTGCCGTTTCCGGCTCGTCCGCCGAGAAGTAGTTGTACGAAGTAAAGGGCATGGGGTTCTCCGGACTGTAGCCAGCCTGAGCCATCAATTCCCTGGCTGCCTCCGGATCATAACCATAGTATTCTTCCCAGTCTTCTTCCCACTTATCGTTCCAAATGCCAAGAATCGGGTGATACTGGGTAATCAGCATTACCTCCCCATCGCCTTCAAGACGTGGTCAAGCATCTCCTGCCGGTTAATGGCCTTGTTCATGGCCTGCCGAACCAGTTTTCCGGTTTCAGGGTTTGCCCACGGAATGCTGGGGTCATAATCCTCCTGGAATGCGGCATAATATTGACCGCCCAAGAACAGGCTCAAGTAATTCGTAGGTACACCGGCTGCTGCCGGCTTCATTCCGCGCCGACCTGCCTCAACTGCAACTCCCGGGAAAGCGCTGCGACGTGAATCTCTCCGGTGAGCAACGCAGCCAGCCGGGTCAGGTCCTCCCTCACCCACCGAATTTCCACTTCCTGGAAGTCCGGATTTTCTCCACGCCAGTGGGGCTGGGGCGCCTTCTCAAACCAGATACCCTCACCTACCTCTCTGCCGAGATACTGGTAGGAGCCGGTCCCGGCCGGTTGCTCGTCGAAGCCATCAACACCCACGTCGTCGAACTGTTTCTTGCTAAGCATCATGATTTCGCCGCCACCGAAGCCGCGGGAAAGAATTGCAGCAGTGTCTACCGCAATGTTCGGGAATACTATTTGAACTGAGTATTCATCAAGGGCGCTGTACTCCGAATTCCTCAAGAGAGTATTAGCAGAAGACGACTGCGCGTCGTCACCCAATACACGATCGAACGCGGCAATTACGTCTGCGGAGGTAAACTCCCCGTAGCCGAACTGGAAGGGCACACCTTCCACCAGGTGGAAGGTCCAGGTCCGGCCGTCGGGAGCTGTCTCCCAACTCTCGGCCAAACGCGGAATGCGCTCGTTTGTCTGCGCATCAAGACCGATCAAGGTTTCCGAGTAGGGATCGAACTGGTAATAGGATGGGCGGCTGACGGTCCAGTGCCGGTTGGTCTCCTGCACTTCGCCCAGGGCGTAGATCACCCTATCAACCTTAGCCTCAACCTGTTCCATCATCACCGGAATCGGGCGTAGGCGTGTGCGATACCGTCTTTCTACGACGGTCTCCTTGGGAATCTCCTTCAGGACCTCTACCTCTTTAACTACCTCTACCTCTTTAATACCTCTTTCTGTACCTCGACGGGCACTTCAATTTCCCTGATAACCTCAACCTCTTTGGGGACTTCTACGGTTACCTCTTGATAACCTCCCTCTCAACAATCTCGGGGGCTGCAGTGCCGCAGGCCACAAGGAAAGTCAGGGCCAGAACCATAGAACTGATGAGTACTGACTTGGGTATGTTCAGCCATGAAACGCCATGGATGTCACCTCCCAATTTCAGGGTCGCAAAGTTCCGGGTTAAGGGTCCATACAAATGAAAGATTAACCTCCTATAATACCGATATATGTCGAATTCCGGGCAGTATATTGGAGCCATATGGATAATGTCAACACATAGCTCTTAACAAATAAGAACCGCTATTAAGGGCTTATATATTTCTATTATTTACGAATTCCGACTACATTTTACGTATATAATAAACTAAGCTTTCCAGCACTGTTGTTCATGTATAACGCCCCTACAGCGTTACATACATAGTTTATTCGTCTTCTAAGCGTTTTCCTTGTTATCTTCTACTATCCCATGAGCCGGAATTGCTAATTGACAGACAGACAGACAGTGAAATGTTTCTCAGACGCAAGCGCTTCGATTACATCCGGCTGCACAGCCGTAGCGTAGTTGGCAAGGTAAGGTTAATAGTTGACAAGGCAATTTGGCGTAGCATATATTGCCTTAACATTGCGGCACAGCGTAAATAGCCCTGTGCACGCTAACAATTTGTCCCTGTAACCCGGCGCAAACCGAACGAAGAGAAGCCCGGCCCTCCGTGGGTCTTTCAGGAAAAGCGAAATGCAACGGTTTATACTTGTCCGGCTCTTCCACGCAGTTATTGCGTTAGTGGCCGTAAGCATGATCGTATTCGGGCTGGGGCGGCTCTCGGGCGACCCTCTGGATACCCTGCTCGACGTCGATGCCACTGTGGAAGATTATGCCCGGGTCCGTGCCTACTGGGGCCTGGACAAGCCTCTGCACATTCAATACCTGACATACGTTGGGAATTTCGCCAGGGGAAGATTCGGTGAGTCCATCAGGTTCTCAGGCCAGGACGCTCGCGAATTGCTTTGGCAGCGCCTGCCGGCCACCCTCGAACTGGCTGCTATTGCCCTGATTGTCAGCGCATTAATTGCGATTCCCCTAGGGGTTATTGTCGCCGTCAAAAAGGATACCGGGATTGACATTGTCGGCAAAATAATCGCTCTAATGGGGCAGTCCCTGCCCAATTTCTGGATTGCATTGATGCTTATGTGGGTATTTGCCGTTCAACTTGAGTGGCTGCCTACCTCTGGCAGAGGAACGTGGAAGCATATCTTAATGCCCGGCATTGCCCTTGGGTATTTCCAGGTAGCGGCCCTGATGCGTCTCACCCGCTCCTCCATGCTGGAGGTGCTGGACACTGAGTACGTTAAGCTGGCCCGCATCAAGGGTTTGCGGGAAGGCATGGTCATCTGGAAGCACAGCCTTCGCAATGCTCTTATTGCTCCGATAACCTATTTTGGACTGATATTGGGCGGCGCCATGACCGGTTCCGTGGTTATTGAGTCCATTTTTACCTGGCCTGGCGTCGGCTTGCTGGCCATTGACGCCCTTCGGTCAAAGGACTTTTCAGTAGTTCAGTCGGTGGTGATATTCTTCGCCGCCATATACATCGGCGCCAACCTGCTGGTCGACCTCGTATACGCATATCTGGATCCGCGCATTCGCTATACACATTAGCCGTTAGAGCGAAAGCGGAGGAGAATAAATTCTATGGCCAACTTGGCGGTGCCTGGCAGAATACCGGGCGCGAGAAGCGTTAGCGGAGCCTGGAGGGCACTGGGAACGGCCCGCAGATACCCTATATTTCCGGTGACCATACTTCTGTTTGTGCTGGTGCTGCCGGCCATTTTTGCCGATTGGGTGGCCCCGCATGACCCCGTGCAGGGAAGCCTTAGCGACAGGTTGGCTCCGCCATTCTGGGTCGAAGCTGAAGGGGAAGGCGTTTACGCTACACCTGGAGGCACTTTTAATCATATCCTGGGCACGGACAAACAGGGCAGGGACATACTGAGCCGCATCATCTATGGTGCGCGAATTTCCCTGACGGTGGCGGCCATATCCATCATTATGGCCGGGATGATCGGCACCACTCTTGGCCTGATCGCCGGTTACTTTGGCGGAAATATTGACCACTGGTTATGCGGGCGGTGGATATCTGTCTTTCCATGCCGGCAATCCTGTTCGCCCTGGTGCTGGCGGTGGTTCTAGGGCCCAGCTTCCAAACGGTCATTATTGTTATTGTCAGCATTTTCTGGTCGCGCTATGCCCGGCTGGTGCGTGGCGAAACCCTGGGTATCAAATCCCAGGACTTTGTGGCCCGGGCGCGGGTGGCCGGAGCCTCCAACGCTCGTATAATCATCCGCCACGTATTCCCAAACGTGGTCAATACCATCATAGTTTTGGCCACTCTTGAAGTAGGTCAGGTAATCCTCCTGGAGTCTACCCTGAGCTTCCTGGGAGCAGGTTTGCCAAGGCCCACCCGGCCTGGGGCCTGATGATCGCCAGCGGCCGAGAACTTCTGGTAACCTCCTGGTGGCTGACCGCCTGGCCAGGCGTGGCCATCTTGCTTTCCGTACTGTCCATGAATCTGTTGGGCGACTGGCTGCGGGACCGGCTGGACCCCAAACTGCGCAACGTGTAGCAGCAATACTCCTGCGAGCTTCATGTTCTTGCCCCCACCGGCGTTTCATCGATATCGTTGTGGGGGCATTTAGTTTGCCTTTCGGATATGCCCCGGCCCCTTGCTACTACAACCCAAATATGACGGGACCCTGAATTTGCCGTATTCTGGTGGCAGTAAAGTGCCAGAGAACCTTTTGGTCCCCCATTCCGTAACATTGGTAACTCTCACCAAGGTCTTGATTCACATGAGACAGCAGTATTCGCAGATCCTCTAGCCTTTGGCCATCATGGTGGGCCTGGCCCTCCTATGGGCCGCTACCGTTGCCTGTTTCCCCGGGACACCGACTGCCTCACCCAGCGTGCAGGAACAGTCCGCTCGAGAAGGGGTTACCCAGCCCACAGAGGTTGCCCCGAGGCCGCCAACCGTCCAACCCACTGCAACGTCGGCGCCATCGGTCCCCACTTTGGCGCCCGCTAGCACGCCCGTCGCAGGTTCTCCCTCAGAACCAGCAGTAGCAGACGCAACAGTCACGCCGGAACCAGAGCCTACGGAAATAGCAGAGATGCCGGCCTCCATCTCCGCCATATTTGACGGAAAAGAAGGTCTGCAAGAACTGGCCTTCCACTACCTTAGCGAACTGGCGGAGGACGTGGGGCCGAGGACCAGCGGCACAGACCTGGAGCGTAAGGCTTCAGAGTTCTTGTTGGAGGAATTCGGCGATCTGGGCTACGAGGCAGCAGCGCAAGAGTTTACATGGGACTCGCCGGCGGCCAGCCTGACCGTCGGACTGCCGGACAATCAAGACCTGGAGGCTAATATCCTTAGCGGAACGGCCAACGGCGAAGCCTCGGCCCAGCTGGCCTTTGTCGGACTGGGCAAACCTGAGGATGTACCCGAAGAAGGACTGGAAGGCAAAATAGCCTTGGTCGAGCGGGGCGAGATCACCTTCGGGAGCAAGGTAGCCGAGGTGCACAACGCCGGAGCGGTGGGTGCCATAATCTTCAACAACGTGTCGGGTTCCTTCCGGGGAACTCTGGGAGGGCGAAGCCAGATACCCGCTATTTCCCTGTCCCAGGCCGACGGGAATCATCTCAAGGAGTTGCTTGACCAGGGAGAAACGATCGAAGCCGCCATTTCAATCGAGGACAATGCTGTCCCCTCTCGCAACGTCATTGCCGAACTCCCGGGAACCGGCGATGGGGTAATCGTAGTGGGCGCGCACTACGATACGGTCCCTGATTCCATCGGCGCCTCCGACAATTCCTCCGGCACGGGAACGCTGCTGGCGGTGGCCGAGCAACTGGCAGGCCGTTCTTTCCCCTTCACGGTGCGGTTCATTGCCTTTGGCTCTGAAGAGACTGGCTTGCACGGCAGCGAATACTACGTGGACAACCTGACCGCTGACGAACTGGAAGAAATCTACCTCATGATCAATCTAGACTCGGTGGGCTCCGGCACCAGGCTACGGCTTTTCGGAGATCGCTGGGCCGCCAAGCACGTGGAGGAGACTGCAGACCGAGAGGAAATACCCCTGGACACCGGTTCCAGGCGCGGCTCCGGCGGCAGCGACCACGTAAATTTCCGCAACGCCTGGGTTCCGATAATCTATTTCCTGGCCGACGACCTCTCCCGCATAAACACTCCTGCAGATACCATGGAGCACATTAATCCCGACTTGCTGGGCGACGTAACCGCCCTGGTGCTGGACCTGCTGGAGAACGTCGCCGACCTTCCCGGGTACGGCCAATAAGGCCGACTTCAGACCCGACGCTGGCCCAACTAACGGCGGGTTATGGTAGACTCAAGGCTAATTTCAGGTACCATCCTGATTAGTCTCAGTCAAGGAGCTTTACCATGGCCCGCCCTCCCGCAGCTCGCATTCAGCGGGTGCAGCCTCCGGCCACCCTGGCCGCCGGCGAAAAGGCCCGACAACTAGCCCGCCAGGGACACGACGTTATAGACCTGGGCCAGTCCAGTCCCCATCACGTCACTCCCCGCCACATTATTGACGCAGGCATTCGCGCCCTCAACGAGGGACTGACCAACATCAGTTCGTCCCGGGGACTGCCCGAATTGCGCCGCGCCATGGCCGGCAAGCTGACAGTCCATAACGACCGCAAAGTGGACCCCGATGGCGACATTCTGGTCACCCCTGGCAGCAAGATGGGCCTGTACGATGCCATCAACGCCTACATCGAACGGGGCGACGAGGTGCTGGTGATCGAACCCACCTGGGTCAGCTTCAGTCAGCAGGTGGAAATGGCCGAAGGCATCCCCGTAGCCGTGCCTCTCAGCGAAGAGGAAGAATACTACATCGACTACGAGCAATTGAAGGAATACGTCACACCCCAGACCAGGATGATCGTCATCAACAACCCCAACAACCCCACCGGGCCGGGTCTACACCGAAGAAGAGACTGGCAGCCGTGGCACGATTGGCAGTGGAAGAGGATTTGTTGGTCCTCTGCGACGAGACTTACGAATACTTCCTCTATGATTCCAACCAGCACCTGACCATTGCCAACCTGGACGGCATGGCGGAGCGAACCCTTACCAGCTACACCTTCACCAAGGCCTACTCCATGTCCGGCTGGCGGTTGGGGTGCATCGTGGCCCAATCGGCCCTGCTGGAACCCCTGCTGAAAATCCAGGAGCAGACGGCCAGCTTCGTATCCCCCTTCGTGCAGATGGCGGGAGTGGCCGCCCTGCAGGGCCCGCAGGACCACCTTGTGCAATGGCGCGAAGACTGCAACGAGCTGCGCATCCGCTGCGCCGACCGATTGTACCAAGTGCCCGGGGTTCACTGTCCATTGCCCGAAGGAGCAACCTTTCTCTTCCCCCGCTTCTCCGCTGATATGACCTCTGCCGAACTGGCCGAATTGCTGGTGGAGCGGGAAGGGGTGGTGGTTACCCCCGGCGCGGGATTCGGGGAAAGCGGCGAAGGCCACTTCCGCATCGCCCTCATGCGCTCCCCGGCTGACCGTGTGCTGGAAGGCGTCGAACGCATCGCCCGGGTGCTGGAGTCACTGTAATTAGCCCAGGAAGGGACCAACCCCATGAAGATTCACCTGGTTGACGGGACCTATGAGTTGTTCCGAGCCTACTTTGCCTTGCCATCAATTTCAGCCCCCGATGGTCGCGAGGTGGGGGCTGTCCGTGGGCTGATACAGACCCTGATTGGATTGTTACGCCAGCCCGATGTAACCCACGTGGCAGTGGCCTTCGACAGCGAGATTCTCTCTTTTCGCAACGAACTGTTCGAGGGGTACAAGACCGGCGAGGGAACGCCTCCGGAATTGCTGGAGCAGTTTCCCCTGGCCGAACGGGCAACGGCAGCATTGGGCCTGGTGGTGTGGCCGATGGTGGAGTTCGAGGCCGACGACGCCCTGGGCGCGGCGGCAGTCCGCTGGCAGGACGCACCCGGTGTTGAGCAGATAGTCCTGTGCTCGCCGGACAAGGACCTGGCCCAGGTCGTGCGCGGCGAACGGGTCGTGGCCCTGGACCGGCGCAAGGACGTGGTCATGGACGAGGCCGGGGTTCGGGAGAAGTTTGGCGTATCCCCCGCGTCCATACCAGACTACCTGGGCTTGGTCGGCGACAGCGCCGACGGCATCCCCGGCATCCCCCGCTGGGGAGCCAAGGGCACCGCACGGGTCCTGGCCAACTACGGCCACATCGAGCAGATTCCACAAGACGCCGCCGACTGGCAATTAACGTGCGGGGCGCCAAGTCCCTCGCCGCCAGCCTGTCCAACAACATGGAAGCCGCCCTCCTCTACCGCCAGCTTGCCACCCTGCGCCTGGACGTCCCAATAGCCGAAGACCCGCCCCAACTGAATGGCAAGGCGCCCACCGCGGACCCTACCAGCAGCTATGCGATGAACTGGGGTTTGAGCGGTTGCGGGAAGGGCCGGGAAAATGGGGGGATTAGGAGTTTAAGTGGCGGCAGTGTATTGCTTGAGCCCTTCCTCAATGGACTTAAGCTGGTCAACTACCTGGTTTAGCACTTCTTGGTAATCCGCCTCTGTTCTAAGCCTGATTGGTACCGAGCCGTCTTCGAGACCGTTGAACTTGTCATGGAGGGCCCACATTATCTCGGTATATATGCCTTGGTTGATTTGCTTATTGGCTACGGGCCCCTGAAGGCCAAACCAAAGCGGAGAAGAATCGTTGCCAGACCAACGCCTGTAACTAAATCCGAACCAGGACTTTACACCGGATTCAACAAATTCGAAGTATCGGACGAAACCATCAAAAGAGGCAGTTGCTCGATACCCCTGAAGTTGTAGTAGACCCTCCTGAACACCGTAAGCATCAACGACGGTGTCGATCAATCTTGTGAGTCTCAGGAGACGGCGCGGGAATTCTGTTCCCAGGTCCTCTTCCTTAAGCTCTTGAAACGCTTCAGCATCCATACGTTCGGTGAGTCCCCTCAATTGTAAAATGTCTGACAGGACGTGGTCTTCGTCAGATGACCCTTCGACCAGCCCATCAATCAATTCCCTCCAACTAACCATCATCAAATGCCAGTTGGCGTCCCCATACTCGACTTTACAACTCTTGACCCTGCCTTGACCATCAGTTTCACCAAGGATTGCCCCTGCTCCCGTCATCTCGACGTCCTTTCTGACCTCTCCCCACAAATAATCTATGCGATAGTCAGGGACCACAAATATGAGCACCGCAGGGCCGTTCTTGGCTAATTGGTGAAGATAGCCTCCACCCTGACCGGCTGAAATTGCGGCGTCAAATTTGGCTTCACCGACTATCCGTTTTTCACTATTTGCGTCGTACCCTACGAAGTCAATTCGGCCACTACCACCTTCAGCCTGGTAGGCGTCTTCCGCAACTATCCCCATGAACGGGTCCAATTCTGCCCCGGTTTGACTGTTTATCAATTTGACCATGGTGCTCATGGCCGAGTCGGATTTATTCAATATATAAGCTAGTGACCTAGTGGCAGCAACCTCGACTTGACCGAAAAGTCTCAGGTCCAACACAAGGTGAGCCAACAAGGTATCGTTCTCAGGCATGAATTACCCTCCTTCTATTCTTCGTGCACCTTCGTGGACAAACCCGATGATTAGTCCCGCGCCGCCCCCGTCGGGTAATCCCCAGCCCGCCCCGTATCCCCAGCCTGAATCACAAAATCCCGCCGGTCCCGGTACAGACGGGCGCGGTTCAGGACGTAGTCTTCTCGCTGCGCAACTTCCAAGTCAATTTCCTCGAAAGGAACCATTATCCAGTACTTGTAATCGCCGACAAACAGGTAGGTGTTATGCATGCTGAAGAACCGGCACTTCACACCTTCTCCGGCTTTCCAGCGTCCCACAATACGGTCCATCAAGTCAGCGCAGTTGTCTTTGTAGGTCAGCACGTACTCATGGGGCCAGGTGTCCCTATAGGTAACTGCTTCCCGCCATGGAGCGTATTCGATTAGTTCGGACAGAGTTGGCTTCATCCCATCACCTCCCATAACTAGGACATGAAAGATAACAGTAGACCCTCAAAGGCTGTCAAGTAAACATCGTCATACGAGGTAACTTTCGACTGAATCAAAATAGGCTCAGACAGAGATCCTCCTGTCTATCTCATTCTTTAATTCAAACTCGCAAACCGCCTGACTCTGCTTGCAAGAAATCGGTTATACTCCCCGAAATAATCACCCACCTCACAAGGAGGCGCCCCATGACCTCAACTCGCAGCGACCGACACGTTGACACCATCGTGGTTGGCGGGCAGATCGTTACGTCCTCCCAGGGTTTACGAGGCCTCCATTGCCATTGACGGTGACAAGATTGCCGCCATCGGCCCCGAGAACCTGCTGCCTCCCGCCGACAACTACATCGACGCCTCCGGCATGTTCGTGCTGCCCGGGCTGATCGACTGCCACGTCCACCTAGACGGCCACGACAACTACGCCCTGGGGTCCCTGGCCGCTGCCCACGCCGGCCTGACCACCCTCGTCCCCTTCGGTACCTACAACCTGGAAGGCGACGAGACTTTGCCCCAGGCCATCAACCGCTCACGGGAGGAAGTGGAACGCACCGCCGTAACCGATTTCGCCTTTCACTTTATCCTGCAGAACCGCCCCAACATTCTGGACAGCCTGCCGGAGGCCCTGGAACTGGGCGTCAAGTCCTACAAGATGTTCATGACCTACAAGAAGCGCCCTTACCGGATGTGCGATGACGACTACATCTGCCAGTCCATGGAAATGGTGGCTAAAGGTGGCGGCGTTCTGCAACTACACTGCGAGAGCGGAAACATCATCGAGTACCTGGAGAACAAGCTGCTGTCCGAAGGCCACACCCATCCTACCGACTTCCCGTCGGCCTGCCCCGACTGGGCCGAGGAAGAGGCCATCAACCGCGCGATAAAGATGGCCGCGGCCACCAACTGCCCTACTTACGTCGTCCACCTGAGCACCCAGTTGGGCCTGGAGCGCATCAAGCAGGCGCAAGCCTCGGGCCAGCGCATTTGGACCGAGTCCTGCCCCCAATACCTGCTCCTGTCCGACGAGGAGATGGCCAAGTACGGTCCACTGGCGAAGATCGGTCCGCCCCTGCGTCCCGCCGACGGCCCCGACCAGGACGCCCTGTGGCGGGGGCTGGAACAGGGCCACATCTCCATCACCGCCAGCGACCACGCGCCCTATCCCCAGGAACTGAAGCAAGTGGGCTGGGACAATATCTTCGTGGACGCTCAAGGACGCTCGGTGCCCTTCGGTTCACCAGGGGTGGAGACCATCGTGCCCCTGATGTACAGCGAGGGAATCGTAAAGCGGGGCCTGCCCATCTGGTGGCTGGCCCGCGTAATGTCAGAGAACACCCGGCCCGCATATTTGGCCTGTACCCGCGCAAGGGTGTAATCCAGGTGGGTTCCGACGCTGATCTGCTTATCCTGGACCCAAAGGGAGACCGGGTCATCACGTCCAGGGACCATCACAGCAACGCCGGTTATTCACTGTTTGAGGGCTGGCAGGTTCAGGGCCGCCCTCACATGACCCTGCTGCGGGGTCAGGTATTGCTGAATCAGGGAGAGCTGGAGCAGCAACCCGGCTACGGCGGATTCCTGGCCAGCGACTCGCCCCGCTCACCGCTGGGAGGGCCGGTGCGATAACCATCAGTACCCCCGGGATAAACTTATCCACGAAGGGACACTAAGCAGCAGGAAGTAATAATTAGGTAGCGTTTGAGAGTTCCTTCCCTCGACGGGGGAAGGTCAGGATGGGGGTGTCGACGTTCATTTAGTGCGGGACAACGTCAAGCTCTTTCTAGGGTTTTCGGCCCCAATTGGAATAGCAGTGACTTGTCTAAGCTTCCCTGAGCCCAAATAGCAACGCCCCCGGACAGTAGTCCGGGGGCGCTTTGCGTTACTGGTAAACCGGGGTGGCGTTGGCTGCTTACTTGGACCAGGTCATGGTGTTAATCAGGATTCGGCGGCCGCCGGGCATATTGACGAACTCCAGGTCCTTGTTGACGCCCCAGACGGAGACAATCTCCATCATGGGAAGCTGCAGCAGGTTGGTGGCAAACAGATCATAGGCTTCCGTCATCAGTTCCCGACGTTCGTCGCCGGTGGATGCCAGGGCCTGCTGACCAAGGGCGTGCCACTCGGCGTTGCAGTTCTTGGAGCGGTTGGAAGCGCAGCTCATGTAGAAGTTAATCTGGCGGCCGAAGTCGAAGTACTCACCACCGGGGGCGAAGAAAACCAGCCCCGGGGAGGCGCCGGTGCGCGGCGGGTCGTTGGCGGGCACTGCGGCAGCGGCAGCTTCGGAAGTGGCGCCGGCTTCGATCTCGGCATCGTAGGTCACGGCCAGACCGGTAAGGTGACGGTCACGCCACACGCTGCCCTCGGCTATCTGGGCTTCCACGTTGATGCCGACGTCCTGCCAGAAGGTAATCAGGGACTCGGTGATCTCCACATCCTTGGCGTATCGTCCGGCGCGGGTCCAGAACTGAATGGTATTCTCGGGGTTATAGTCGGCCTGCGCCAGCAGTTCCTGAGCCCTTTCCGGGTCGTAACTGTAAATGGGCTGCCAGTTGTCTTCGTTGACGCCCAGGGTACCGGGGATGCCGTTGGGGCCGCTGGAGCAGCGGGACTCGGGACCGAAGAAGGCAAGCGCCAGTTCTTCGCAGTTGATGGCGTGGGTCAGGGCCTGCCGGACTTCCAGCTTGCTGAGTTCCGGGTGCCAGATGGTATCCACGTTGATGGTGTAACCTCACCCGATACCACCTTGACCGTCTTGCCATTCTCGCTGTTGTTGATGGGGTCTGCCTGGTCGATGGACACCGCCCAGGACAGGTCGGCCTCCCCGGTCTGGATCATGGCGGAGCGGACCGTCTCCTCGGAACGCCAGAGGTACTGGGCGTCCTTGATGGACGGGGCCTGGGTGATGAAGTTCACCGGCTGCGGCTCCACGTAATCCTCGTAGGCGGACAGGGTTATGGACTCGCCGCGGACATACTCCCCCCAGACGTAGGGGCCCCAGCCAATCACCTGGCCGGAGGCACCAGATCTTCCTGGGAAACGTTCTGGTGGTAGTCGGGGGCGACGAAAATGTGAAACTGGCCGAAACGGGGCAGCACCGGACAACCGGCGGCGCTGTCGCAGATGAAGTCCACGGTGTAGTCATCTACGATTTCGGCATGGGCCTCGCGTACCTGCGAGTAAGGCTGGTATTCCACGTTACTGCCAAGCTGGTTGATGGTATAGGCGGCAGCTTCGGCGTTCCACGTTCGCCGTTATGGAAGGATACGCCCTCCCGCAGTGACAGGCGCCACTTGTTGGGCTCATACTGCTCGAAACCGGTGAAACCGGCGGTGGCAGTATCGGTGAAGTCCGGCCCGAAGAAAGAAATGGGCTGGGCAATGTTGTGGATTATCTGGTTGGGGTACAGAGTGGTGCTGATCCAGGGATCGGGAATCGAGGGTTCTTCGTTGATAACGATCACCACGTCGTCCCGGGCGGCCTCAACCATGGCCTCGGTGGGACGGGGAGTGGGCTGCACGGTGGGAACCGGCGTGTTGGTCGGCGCCATGGCAGGCTCCGGGCTGTCGCCGGTGGAACCGAAATCAGTCATAGAGCTGGAATCCACCATGGAACCTGAGTCCATGCTCTCGGCAGGGGTGGCAGGTTCAGCAGCAGCAGACGAGGCGGGCGCCTCGGCAGGAGCGGCAGCGGGAGCGGAAGTGGGCTGTTCTGCCCCACCGCAGGCGATGGCAAAAATAGTAGCGAATGCAGTTAAACCGACCAGCCAGCGCCCCAAGCGCCGCCGGTCATTCGTTCTTGGAGTCAATTAGTATATTCCTCCCTACAGTTGAAAATTATGGTTTCCGTCCACGGGGTTCAGATAATCCGTTAATACGATAATATTAAGTAACCAATAAGTCAACGAAATGAAGTTATTTCGTCAACTTCTTCATGGTTACGAATTGCGTTCTGCTTGCTCGTCAAAGTACTTTTCTTTATCCTTGACGTACAACAACTTATCAACGCAAAACGGAAAACTTGACAGGCAGCGTTCCCGATCACGAGACAACAATTGGGGAGCAAAATGAAGAAAGAGGTCAGGTTACCTAACGGTGCGATATAACGGCAAGGTCACAATTTCTGGGGAAACCAGGCATATATGCGCGTTCAGGATCAGGGCCCTGATCACGCTGGCTAAAGATGCGGGACATGACGTAAGGCAAGCACACGCCTGCTGAAGGGTTTTCGGGATGCCGCTGATAGCGTCCGCGGCCAACCCCAACCCAATGAGGCAAATTAAGACCGTAGACGGCAGGAATGGGACGCTCTTTCGAAAAGCGGCTAGGTTTCGCTTTCCTTCCTGAGCCCCAATTCCCCCTGTTCCATCTGCAGCAGCCGGGCCTTGACCGTCAGGCCACCGGCGCCGTACCGTGCAGAGTCTCCGCTGCTGCCTATTACCCGGTGGCAGGGAATTACCAGGGCCAGGGGATTGCGGGCCATCGCCTGCCCGGCGGCCCGGGCAGCGTTGGGGCGACCGGCTTCGGCGGCCAGCCAACTGTAACTCCGGGTCTCTCCTGCCGGTATGGTTCTACAGGCCTCCCAGGCAGCGCCGAAAAATGGCGGGGCGTTGCTCAGGTCCAGCGCAATCTCGTCAAGCGCTGCGGTGTCGCCTACAAAATATCGCTCCAGGCATTCGCGCGCCTGCGGGAATGCCGCCTCATCCTGCTCGGACCCCCTCAAGTCATCACTCAGGTCCTCGAGAATTTCCTCAGGCGTGGGCTTCATGCTCAGGCGGCACAGCCCGTCATCGCTGCCCACCAGGCCAATCCACCCGTGAGGGCCCGGAAAGATGCAGTGTTTATACTCTTTCATCCTTGGGCTCCTTCCGCAGCCTGCGCCCGCTTTCGCAGCAGATGGAACAGCAGGGGCATGCGGACTGCCATCCAGGCCTGCACCAGGCGCTCGGTTTCCTCTTCCGTACGTTCCCTCCTGCCGTACAAATAACGGACGTAACTCCCCACGATAATCGACAGGTTTTCTCGCTGGTCCGGCAGTTCGCTGTGCAGCCTCTCCAGGTATTGGAACGGGGTCTGATACCGGGCCGGCCCCATGGAGTTCAGGCGTCCCAGGAATGCCAGGTGGCGGAAGGTTACTTCGGGAAGTGGTGACGGGGAGAGGTAACGGCGCCAGAAGACCCAGACCAATAGCGCTACCAAGGCCGCGACCGCAACAATCCCGATGACCCACGGCAGGAACCGGCGCAGCAGTTGCAGCGCAACTGACTCCTGCTGCTGTATAGGCAAATTATCAGCCAGGAAGTCTTCCTCGCAGTCTTCGTCGTCGTCGAAATCGCAATCCGGAATGTACGTCGAGCCCGAAGTCAAGCCCTCCAGGTCCAGACTATCCGCGGCCACCGGCTCCACCGCCACGGGAATAGTGGCGCCCGGTGTTGGCTCGAAGCTGATCCAGCCGTATCGCGGGAAGAACACCTCTACCCAGCCATGGCTGTGGCTGTCGGTTACAACGTAAATATCGTGGTCCGGCAACTGGTTGCCCACCGTATAGCCGGTAACCATTCTGGCCGGAATGCCCTGCGTCCGTAGCAGCACTGTCATTGCCGACGCAAAGTATTCGCTGTAACCTGCCTTCTGCTCAAACAGGAAATAGTCCACGCCGTCGGCATCAAATGGCGGTGGATTAATGGACAGGGAGTAGGGCAAGGTCTTTAAATGGTCCTCGATAGCGATGGCCTTATCGTAGGGCGTTTCGGCATCGGCGGTCAGCTCCCGGCCCAGGTCGCGGACGCGTTGCGGCAGTTCAAGCGGCAAAGCAGTGTACTTGGCCAGCGCCCAGGTGGGGTAGTCCAATCCGGCCAGCCGTAAATCATCTGACCTGGCCAGGGAAACCGAAGACGTTACCTCGTAGGTTTCGCCCTGCTTGAAGTCTTTTCGGGCCGTCCTCAGGGAAAGGGTATCCGGCTGCTCGGGCAAAACCTCTGCCAGCGCCACATGTTGTACCTGGTTCCCGTCCCGGACAACATCCACGAGATGGAAACCCGCTGGCACTGCCTGGGTCAATTGGGATCTTCCGGCCGACTCCCCAGACTGGCGCAGGATCCGGTCCAGGTTGACGGCCGCTATGTCGAGTTTTGGATATGACCGGCCCACCTCCAGCGGGCCACTCAAATCTATGTTGTAAATTGGGGAGTCATAGGTCTCCACGCGAACATCTCTGTCCGAGGAAATGACCTGGCCTCCGGCAAAGAGGTTGCGGGTTCGATAGTTGGGCGTCAGGGAGTGGGTTACCTCGAACCGTTTTTCGTACGGCTGGGGCACGGAGTGAGTGGGGGTCCAATCCGTTGGCTGCAATTCCGTATTTTCGGATAACCATCCCTTGGGTGTGTAAGTACCGTAGCTTCGGGCTTTCCAGTACATCGCCACCGGCGATTCTACCTGCAACACGGGCGTGGTAGTGGGATTAATAGTGCCCTGGAAGGCCATTACGTCGCCCCAAATACGATAAGGCAGGGGCTTGCGGGCCGGGAGGCCGGCGAACAACCGGTTGAAGTCCTCTTCAAACCTGACGAGGGGGGACCGCATATACTCGTAAGTATCGTGGGCCGGGGCCCAGAACCGACCGGTGGGAAGCAACAGAAATGCTACCAGAAGCACGAAAAAGGTAACAATCACACTGTCGGAAACGGCCAGTATTCCCAGGTGGCTATCGGACTGGAACCCTCGGCGGCGCCACTCCTGCAGTCGGCGGACCGCTTGCACCCGGGACACCAGCAGCAACGCCGTCAAAAGGTATAAGCCGAGGTAGACGCTGCCTTCCGACGGCAAGAAAGTCAGGTTGGATAGCAGCCCTGCTCCGCCAAGGACAAAGACGCCCCAAAAGTTGCGGAGTCGGAAGAAGACCCAGGCTGCAAAAAAACCGGCCATCCAGGTAATGCACATCAGGGCAAAGGCGAAAGGCTCCCGGTCGATGTTAATGCTGCCCGTCTGTGCCGCTACCCACCACAGGTTCAGCCTTTCAAACAGCTCAACGGCACTGCTTAATTCCATGCCCTCGGCCTGGAAAGAAGTCAACTGATACACTACCACCCAGAACCCAATAACCAACCCCAGGGGAACCAAAAGCAATCCCCACAATGGAATGCGTGAAATCACCAGGCCGGTCAACATGGCCAGGAGGATCAGGGAGACCAGATTGGGCGTGGGCACCCAGTCGGCACGCTCCACCGACCAGACCACGACCATAAGATTCAGGGCCAACAGGAAAACAGCTGCCCAACCATCGGAGGGCCGAGCATAGACAAGGAACGCCTTCAACCGGGCCATAACCGATTCAAAACTGAGTCCGCCGCTCCGTGCGGGAGCTTGGCTCTGGCTCACTCCAATCATGGCGCCGTCTCCGATCCCTCGGGGCGGACCGTCCCCAGGTAGGCGAACTCCGCTGAGACAGGCTCAGAGGCCGAACCATTTTCGTTGAAGCTGACCTCCTCCGTTACTCCATCACCTGGGGCCCTCGGGGCAATGAAGGGGTAGGGCTGGGCGTACAAGGGCAATTGCAGGGCGTCATTCAGTGATTGGCCCCGCCGGACTCGATACACGGGAAGCTCGCTGGAATACAGGAAATCCAGGGGCGACTGCACCTCAACGGGGGCGCCAAAATCGGTGGGGTCCACGTAGACCACCGACACATGTACCCCATCTCTTCGCAAGCTGGCCAGCGCCGGAATCCATTCAGTGCGGCGCGAGGGAGTAACTATGGTCAGACTATTGAAGCGGCTCAGGTGCCCTTGCAGATCATAAATGAAGCGTTCCAGCGTAACGTTCCCAGTGGCCCTCACCCCTGCCAGCGCTTCCATCAAGTGGCCTACGTGGCCAGCTCCGGAGCCTGGCCGGAGCAACCAGGTTTGGTCGCCATTGGTGGCCATGCCCACTGGCATGGAAAGCTCGTCAAATCTCTCGATAAGGGACGCCGCCGCCTTTACCGACAGTTCCTCGGTGTTATCCACCGGGTCGTCACCCGTATGGGAACTCCGCTGCATATCCAGCAACACCCACGCCTCGGCAGACAGGCCCATGTCGAATTCCTTCACCATCAGGTTGTTCATTCGAGCGGTGTAGGGCCAGTGGATCTGCCGGAAGCTGTCGCCGTAAACATACTCGCGAACGCCCGATGATTCAGGGGTAATGTGGTCGGAACGACGGGTAACACGACGGTCGCTGGGCAGGAAGGCGAAACGGGGGTCCAGGTCTGGGAGCGGCTCTGTGGCGGGAAACACCACGTATGGCTGCGCCTCCAGGAATCGGCGGTTAAGCCGGAACAGTCCGAAAGGGTCCTGGCTGGTTACTTCTATCCGGCCGGTCTCGAACACGCCCCGGCGGGCCAGGTAGGTCTCTATACGCCAGCTACGCGACTGGTCCCGCACCATGGCGATACCCCGTCCAGTAGTATAGCCGGGGATATCTGACACTTCCTTTACTTCCAGCCATGACTTGGGAAAACGGAAGCGGTTCACCACCTGAATCTGGCCTTCAAGGTAGCTGCCGACCTGCCCTCGGTGTGCCAGCCGAGTCAGCCGCACATCCAGGCCCTGGAGATTAATCCAGGCCCAGAGCAGCCCGAAGACCAGCACCAGGGCAATTACGTAAAGGAATCGAAAGAAAAAGGGGAAGCCGGTACCCAGGGTATAGAAGGTGACTACTGCCAGCAGGATGAGAATCCCGATAGTCCGCTTGCTCAAAATCAAGTCTCTGGTTCGAGAATAGTGTGCTTGGAGTTATCGCGGCTAGAATACCACAAAACTTGAGAGATCCCGGGATTCGGGAACAATGAGCCTGGTTTTCAAAGTGAACCTGGTCTCCTGGTCTCCTCGGGCAGGCTAGACCTGAGCCATGCCCGGTACATTAATCTGGTTCAGCAAATCGGTGACCAGTTCCTCGCTGCGGATGCCCCGCATCCGGGCCGAAGGCGACAGCACCAACCGGTGGGACAACACCGCGGGAGCCAACTGCTTTATGTCATCAGGAATTACGTAGTCCCGGTCCTGCACCAATGCCATTGCCCGCGCCACTCTGAACAGGCCCAGGGTAGCCCGAGGCGAGGCCCCCAGCGAAACATCGCGATGGTTTCGGGTGGACTCGGTCAGGGAAACAATATACTGGCGAACCAGGCGGTCAACGTAGACCGTCTTGGCGGCTTCCTGCAGGGCAGTCACTTCCGCCGGAGCGTGCCAAGTGAGCAACAGGTTGTTCCATGTATTCACTCGGGTGGGCAATTCCCTGTCGCGTCGATCAGGGCCATTTCCTCGGTAAAATCCGGGTAGCCCAGGCTGAGCCGCATCAGGAAGCGGTCCAACTCAGCTTCCGGCAGGGGGAACGTGCCTTCATATTCAATAGGATTCTGGGTGGCCACCACCATGAAGGGCGGCGTCAGGATGTGGGACACGCCGTCCACGGTAACCTGCAGCTCTTCCATGGCTTCAAGAAGGGCTGCCTGGGTCTTGGGCGTGGCCCGGTTAATTTCGTCAGCCAGCACCACTTGCGACATAATGGGCCCGGGCCTGAAGTTAAAGTCGCCGCTCTGCTGGTTATATACCGAAATGCCGGTTACGTCGCTGGGAAGCAGTCCGGTGTGAACTGGATGCGCTGGAAAGAGCAGCCTACGGAGATGGCCAGCGCCTTGGACAGGGTTGTTTTACCTACTCCGGGTACATCCTCCACAAGGAGATGACCCTGGGCTATCAAAGTAGCCAGAGCATGCTGCACAGCCGAAGTCTTGCCGACGATAACTTTGCCAACATTTTCAACAATACGTTGGCCTACTGCGGCCGGGGAAGTGGTTTCCTGCAAACCGTCCTCCGATAAACAACTATGTGTATCCCCGTGCGAAGTTGATCCCGTTAAAACGCCATGAGAGTCTACCACAAGCCGACGTTGAAGACATCCCTCGCCAGAAAGGGAACAGAAGGCGCCGGGTCGCGTCCAGTGTCAATACTTTCGAAGCCCTCTGAGGCAGCAGAATCGCAAGCAGGCACCGCAGGGGTCAAGCCGGTCGAAGTGAGAGCGGAACACACCACCGACTCCGAAGAAATGCGCCAAGCCCCCCAAGCAAAACCCATCCTGCGCAGTCTCTGGTATGATTCATTAGAGCATCCGCGACAGGCCGGCGACAGGCATCCACGGCAAAAACACCATCGTATAGAGAAGTAGGCTGGGAACTGGAACCATGATTACCCCAAGGAGCATAGAGTGAAATTCAACAACCCCTCCCTCTTGTCTGCGAAAGTTCGGCGCGGCGGTCCGGCTATTTTCCTAACCGCAGCGTTGACGTTGGCTCTGGTAGTAGCCTGCGGCCCGGGGGCTGCCTCCCAAACGGCCACCTCTTCTGACCCTGCTGCTCCAACCGAAATTACCTCCGAAAGCCAGGCACCCAACGAAAGCATCGCACCGTCCGAGACCGTGGTTGAATCCAACCCCCAGACAACCGAAAGCCCAGCCAGTCCTGCGGCAGCGTCGACTGAGGATCCCGGCGCCGACCAGGCTCCTGCCACGCAAGCGGTTGAGGAGACCCCCACAGCTGTCGCCGACGTTGCCGATGTCGTGCCGCAGCCTACCAACACCCCTTCAGTGAGCGAATTGGCCGCGTTGGTGGAAGCCAACCCCGTTGCCGACACCGCCGAGCCGGAACCGGTAGAGGAGTCAGCCCCGGACTCTGCACAGGAAGCAGAATCGACTTCCGAGCCGGAACGCCAGATAGCGGAGGGACCACTGGCCGCGGAGCCCGCCGGCATTTATGCCTGGATCAACAGCGACCCACTGACCCTGGAGCAATTGAAGGGCAAAGTCGTGCTGGTGGACTTCTGGACCTACACCTGCGTCAACTGTATTCGCACCTTCCCCTACTTGAAGCTGTGGCACTCCCGCTACGCCGACGACGGCCTGGTCATCCTGGGAATTCACACTCCCGAGTTCGATTTCGAGAAGAACTACTGGAATGTTCTGGAAGCCACCCAGGAAAACGGCATCGTATGGCCGGTGGCCCAGGACAATGACTTTGAGACCTGGCAGGCCTACAGCAACCGCTTCTGGCCGGCCAAATACCTTATCGACCGCGACGGAGTGATCCGCTACACCCACTTTGGCGAGGGAAAGTACGGGGAGACGGAGGAGGAAATAAGAAAACTGCTGGCGGAGGCGGGCGCAGATCTTTCCGACGATGCCGAGTTGCCCGAAGACCAGCAGCTTGACCCAGCTTTCCTTGGGGCCTTGGATGCCGAGGTAACCCCGGAGCTTTACGCCGGCTACGAGCGCAACGTCAATGCCATTTTTAGCGGTTTTCACCCTTATGTATTCCAGGAAACTTTCTACCAAAACCGAGGCGCGGTGGGCAATTTCGTAGCGCCGGAAGCGCTGGAACCCCATTTCATATTCTTCCAAGGGCCCTGGGCAGTAGGCCCCGAAAACATTCAGCACGCCCGCGTCAGCCACAACTACGAAGACTACCTGGCCCTCAAGTACTCAGCCAAGAGCGTCAACGCCGTGTTGACCTCCGAGTCCGGTGAGCCCTACCGGGTTCGAGTTACCCTGGACGGCCAATACCTAACCGAAAAAAACAAGGGGAGCGACGTTCAGATCGGTGAGGACGGGGAAAGCTACCTGGAAGTGGACCAGCCGCGCCTTTACGCAGTAATCGACAGCCCCCAGTACACCCAAAGGCAAGTGCTAAAGCTCAGTTCCAACTCGCCGGACTTCGGCCTCTTCGCTTTCACCTTCGGCGTGTACCAGGGTAAGGGACCGTAATGGGTATGGCGCTTAAGTCCTCCTCCATTCCAAAAGCCCCCCGGTTGCTGGCCATCGGGTTGCCGCTGGTAGTGGGACTGGTGGCATTGACCGCATTGGCAGGATGTACCGCTGTCAATCCTGAGCCAACACCGGCGGCGACTTCGGCAGTGACTTTGGCAACGACCCCGGAACCTCCGCCGGCGGCCAACCCTGCGGCGCAAGCAGTTATCGAATCACAACCCGCCTCCAAGCCAACCGGGTTCGATTCAGGACGCCGCCCCGGGGGCCAATCCCATGATGCCCGCCGCAGAAGGAAAGATTGAGCCCATCCTGGCCACCACGGTACTCAACCCCGGTGAACAACGTGTGTCCTTCCTGCTGGTGGGCGAGAAATCCATCATCAAGGCTCCTGAAGCCACTGTTTCCGCCACCTACCTGGGCGACGATCAGTCCGGCGACGGCGCTCCTACTGGGTCGGTTCAGGCTACCTATCATGATTGGCCCTTCGGCATCAGGGGAGCCTACAGTACAGAATTGGCTTTTGACCGGCCCGGCCCTTGGCAACTGAATGTGGCCGTGCAGGATGAGGAGATTACGGGTAGTACGGTTATAGACCTGGAAGTCGTCGAGGACTCGCCAATACCTGCCATCGGCGATCGTCCGCCCCTGAGCCGACCAAGACCCTGGACGAGGTAGGGGCAGTGGAAAAGCTCACCACTGACTACAACGCCGACGAGGAACTTTACCTCATCTCCGTGGCCGACGCCGTCGAAAGTCCGCGCCCTGCGGTGATCGTCTTCGCGTCACCCGCCTTCTGTACCAGCGCCACCTGTGGGCCCCAGGTTGACACGGTCAAGGAACTGAAAGCCGCCTACCAGGACCAGGCGGACTTCGTCCACGTCGAAATATACGACCTGCCCGACGAGATCCAGGGAGACCTCAGCCGCGCCCAGTTTGCCGAGGCAGTTGAGGAATGGGGCTTCCCGTCTCTTCCCCACTGGTTCAACGAGTCCTGGGTCTTCATCATCAATGACCAGGGCACCATAGACCAGCGGTTTGAGGGCTACGCCACGCTTACGGAACTGGAGGCAGCCTTGAAGGAATCTCTTCAAGAGGGTTAGCCAGCCCAGTCCATATTCCACCTTTCAGTACTAACCCTCGACACTTGCCCAGCATTGCCGGGTGGGGTAGGATAGCTGGAAATTCAGCAGCCAGGGAGATTGCACCATGCCAGCCAGCGATGGCGCCGCCCAGCCCTTCACCGCAGACCTCAGCCTGAACGTTAACGGCATGAGCCATTCGGTCCAGGTTCGTCACCACTGGACACTGCTGGACGTGATCCGAGAGCAACTGGACCTGACCGGTTCAAAGAAGGCCTGTGACCGGGGGGAATGCGGTTCATGCACCGTTCTGCTGGACAACAAGCCCGTTTATTCCTGCCAGATTCTGGCAGTACAGGTGGGCAGCCGACCGGTGGTAACCATTGAAGGTTTGGGCGACGGCACGGGCGATCCGGCCGGCATGGACCTGGTGCAGAAGGCTTTCCTGGACAATGATGGGGGGCAGTGCGGCTTTTGCACTCCAGGCTTTGTAATGTCCACCCGAGCCCTGCTGAACGATAACCCCAATCCCACTGACGACGAGATCCGCCAGGCCCTCTCCGGCAACCTCTGTCGCTGCAACGCCTACGGACGAATCATCGAATCGGTCAGGGCAGCCAGGCAGGGTTAACTGGATCCACCATTCTTGGACGAGGGCCCTCAACCCACGCAAACCGTCGTCCCTGCTTTCGCAGGTACCTCGCTTACCATAGTCTCGACCCCCCCTTGCCATAATCGGCCAAATTAAAAGGCCCGGGAACGTGTCCCGGGCCTTGCTATATATCTCTGGGGACATAGCTTACTAGTCTGCCGCCGCTGGCGTCCCCTCCTCAGCCAGGGCCATGCGCCGGGCCAAGGCTCCCTGCATAGCACGCCTCTCCTCCTCCTCAGTTTGCGGCGAGAAGCGTACCAGGAACACCAGCGGGGCAATTGCCACCACCGCTATCCCGATTAGCATCAGGGCGTCGGCGAAGGTAAGGCTTTCCACCCGGAAAAGGAAGCCCGCCGCCACCGCGCCGGCATTGCCACCGGCGCCCACGATGCCGGCCACCGAACCCAGGGCCTTGCGGTTAATAAAGGGCACCACCGAAAAGGTCGCTCCCTCCGTCATCTGGACGAAAAGGCTGAAGATGATCATGGCTCCCACGGCCAGGAACAGGGTAGCCATCTGCGAGAAGAGCACCAGGGACAGCCCTTCCATCAGCAGGACACCGCCCATGAACATCACCCGGCCCTTCAACCCGAACCTGATGCCGAATTTGTCGCCGAAGAAGCCGCCCAGCGTCCGGGCGAAGATGTTCATCAGGCCGAACAGGCCGGCAATCAGGCCGGCGGTTGCCAGGTTCAGTTCGAACCGGTCGTAATAGTACAGAGCCGCAATATTGTTAATGGTCAGTTCGATTCCGAAGCATGCTCCGTAAATGACGAACAAAGCCCAGACCCGGTAGTCTTTAGCGGCATCCATGAAGGACCCGTTCGTCACTGAAGTGGGTGCCATTTTTCCGGCGGCCCGCATCTGCCGGTAGTTTCCCTCCGGACAATCCTGGGTCAGGAAGTAGTAAGCGAATCCGGTGAAAAAGAGTCCTACGCCGGGAATCACCATCGCCACCCGCCATCCAAAGGTCTCACCCACGCCCAGCATCAGCACCAGGGTCAGGAGCAGGGGCATTACCATCTGGGTTACGCCGCCGCCCATGTTGCCCCAACCGGCGGTGGTGGCGTTGGCCGTGCCCACCACGTTGGGCGCGAACATTACCGAGGTATGGTATTGGGTGATGACGAAGGAGGCGCCGATTACGCCAATTGCCAGCCGGAACAGCAGGAAAGTCTCATAGTTCTGGGCCAGGCCGATACACATCACCGGAATGGAACCCAGCACCAGCAGCCCCGAGTAGGCCAGGCGGGGGCCAATGCGGTCGCACAGCCAGCCGATGAGCAGCCGAGCCAATATGGTGATCGCCACTGAAGCGATGATCGTGTTGCCGATCTGGGTCTTGGTAAGGCCCAGGTCGTCGCGCACCAGGGCCATCATGGGTGCAATGCCGAACCACCCGAAGAAGGCCAGGAAAAAGGCGAACCAGGTCAGGTGGAAGGTCCGCATGTGCGGCTTCCCCAGGCTGAAGAGCTTGATACGCGTGGCCTTGTTCGATGGTGGCGCTAAGAGGTATTCCGTATCCTTGACATCCATGACTTCAGTCCTCCTCTTGACTAAACGGTCAACGCGACCGGAGCAGCTTTGAGACTTTCCAGTACCTTCGCCAGGGTTTCGGGCAATTCATCGCAGGGCACGTTTTCCAGCGTCTTGACTGACGATTCTCCGTCGGTAACCACGCCCAGGGCCTCAGCTACCTTCCCTCCCAGGAAAACGTCCACAGCATCCACAACATTTCCGTCCACCCTGGCCTTCTTGCCCAGCAAACCAACATCGGCCACCGTGTGATTGCCGCAGGCGTTGGGGCACCCCGACCAGTTAATGGACAAGGCGGGCAGGTCACTGTCGACCTTCTCTTCCAGGTAACGGGACGTTTTCAGGGCCAGGCCCTTGGTATCCACCAGGGCGAAGTGGCAATAATCAATGCCGGTGCAGCTCACCAGGCCCCGCATTACCGGCGAGGGATCGGCGCGGAACTCCTGCAACAGCGGTTCCTCTTCCAAAGCAGGCACCAGGGAATCGGGCACGTTGGGAATGATCAGGTTTTGCTCAGCGGTAATCCGGACTTCGCCGTTGCCGTAGTTGTCAGCGAGACGGGCTACTTCCAGCATCTGTCCGGCTGTTATCCGGCCCACCGGTACCACCAGCCCGGCATAGTTCAATCCCGCCTCTTTTTGAGGATGAATTCCGATGTGGTCCGACTTGGCCTCACTTCCCACCGGAGATCCCGACGTCAACAGGGGGTGGCCAACCCGCTGCTCCAACTCCTGACGGAACCGGTCAACGCCCCATTCTTCAATCAGGAAGGCCAGACGGGACTTGTTCCGGGCCTCCCGTAGGCCGTTGTCGCTGAACAGCAGGGTAATTTCACTGCAAAGCTGGGCCGCATCCCGGGGCAGAACGAAAACGTCCAGGTCCGAGGCCGGCCGGAAGCCGCCCGAACCCTGCTTGCCGCCGACGGTTACGTTGAACCCCTTGACCTCCTCGCCGGCAATGCTCTTGACGGCTGGCGTCAGGGCAATATCCTGGGTTACGGCGTGGGTGCAGTTGTCCAGGCAGCCGGTTATGGTCACATTGAACTTGCGTGGCAGGTTGGTAAACTCCCGGTTACCCACGAATATTTCGTTGTATTCGCGAACCACCGGCGAGGCGTCAAACAGTTCGTTGGGCGTTAGTCCTGCCACCGGGCAGCCCACTATTCCCCGAATGTTGTCCATGCCCGTCTGAATGGAGACAATTCCCACCGGCTCCAGCCGGTCCCAAATGTCCTGCACCTGGTCGATTTCAAACCACCTCAGCTGTATTTGCTGGCGGGTGGTAATGTCAGTGAAGTCCTTGCCGAAATCGCTGCTGATGCTTGCAATGGCGCGAAACTGGGCCGAGTTGCTGATGCCGTTGGGTATGCGCAGCCGCATCATGAAATGGCCGGGGGTCTGTCGCCGGAAGAAGACGCCCAGCCACTTGAGCCGCTCCTTGTCGCCGTCGGTGATGGTCTCCCAACCGTCGACCGCGTAGCGGGGCAGGTCGGCCTTTACGTCCAGACCGTTCTTCTCTTCCTTGTAGACCTCAATCTTGTTCATGCTGCGTCTCCTGCTTTCCCCTTAGGTTCCTTCGTTTCCCTCACCTGGCCCTTCCCCTCGGGGAAATGAGCCGGGATAAGAGTGCTCCTAAACCAAAGCCAAGGTGAAATACGCAGAAAAATGGGATAAATTTGTGGAGGAACTGGGCCAGGGTGTGCAGTAGTTGGGGGAGGGTAGATGATGAGCGTGAGGGAGATAGATCGGTCTTTGGAACAATGGCAAATGGAAGTAAAGGATTTGCGTCGACGGATGATCTTGGCGCCGACGCCCCGGGAGCGGGAGCGGTGGTACGCCATCTTGCTGCTGGCCCAAGGCTGGAGGGCATCGGCCACGGCGGCGGCGCTGGAAAGGGACCCTCACACCATCGGACGATGGGCGGCGGCCTTCGGTGAGGGAGGGCCCAGAGCCCTGATATTCGAGCAGACCGGTGGTTCCCCCCCGCCCTTGGCGAGGCGCAGCGGGAGGAGTTGAGGGCGGCGGTGCAGAGGCTGCCTGCCGAGGCGGGCATGGACCTGGCCAACTGGAACTGGAAGGTGGTGCATCGGTTTGTCTGGGAATGCTTTGGCCTCAGCCTGTGCCGCAGCAGTTGCTTGAACTACCTGCACCGATTGGGGTTTGCTTTCAAGCGTCCCAAGAAGCGGCTGCTGAAGGCGGACGAAACTAAACGGGAGGCCTTCGTGGTGGAGTACGCCGCACTCGCCCACGGGGCAAAGCAGTCTGGCGGCAAGATATTCTTTGCTGACGAGGCCCACTTCCGGGCCGATGCGGAGCTGCGGGGCAAGTGGGTGCTGAGAGGAGAACCTGCTCTGGTGGATTCGAACAGCCCGCGGTATGGCGAGAAAGCCAGCTACTATTCGGCAGTGTGTCTGGAGACGGGAGAGGTGGAATGGATGGAACTGGAGGGTAACAGCAACAGTGAGACCTCGGCCTGCTTCCTGAGGCAACTTGGGGAGAGACACCACGGGCCACTGCAAGTCATCTGGGACAACGCGCCAGCGCATCGGGGCGAGGCGGTGCGGGAGTACCTGCAGACGCCGGGTCTGGGGCTGAGGCTGGTGAACCTGCCGGGCTACAGCCCGGACTTCAACGCGGATGAAGCCATTTGGGGATGGGCACGGGAAGAGGCAACGGGAAACCTGTGCCTGGGAACCAGGGCGGCGGTGCGGGAGCGGGTAGGTAGCTTCCTGGCTGGGCTGGCCAGACGGAAAGAGGAAGTCCGGCGGCGCTGCCGAACAGTCCTGCAATCAAGAGCCGAAGCGCTCCAGCCAGCCTCCCTGCCCGATTCCCTTCATCCGGCAAATGTACATCCCACTTTGGCTTTAGTTTAGTTCCGTCCGGCCAGGGCTGCTTCCGGAGGATTTGCCAGCACCTCTTCGGGTATGCCCTTGAGCGCGTCCCCTTCTCCATTGCTGCCGCTCCCGTTTCCATTGCTGCCGCTCCCGTTTCCATTGCTGCCGCTCCCGTTTCCATTGCTGCCGCTCCCGTTTCCATTGCTGCCGCTCCCGTTGCCGTTGCCGTTGCCGTTGCCGTTGCCATTAATGCCGGTACTTGCTGCTGGCTCGGGCATGGCCTGTTGCATGGCAAATTTGAGGACCGCATGAATCTGGGGTTTGCATGCCCCGCAGCCGGTACCCGCGCGGGTCGCCGCGCAGACGGCTGCCAGGGTGTCGCTTCCCTCCTGGCAAGCCTGGACCAGCTTGCCCTTGGTCACCCCGTTGCAGTTGCAGATCTGGGCGCTGGCTGCCAGTTCGGACACATCTATCTGGGGCACGCCGCCCGTACCCGGGAACAGCAGGCTGGCCCGGTTGTCCGGCAGCAGTTCCCCCCGGTCAAAGGCCTGCAATACGTTGGGCGAGGTCAGGCCGTCGCCCAGGAGAATCGCCCCGGCCAGGCGACCGTTGCGGACGATCAGTTTCTTGTACACGCCCCGCGCCGGCTCGCTGTAGTGGACCTGCTCATCGTCATCCATTTGCGGGTCCTTGTCCCCCATGACCGCCAGGTCCACACCCATGATCTTGAGCTTGGTGGAGACCCGGACGCCCCGGAAGGAGGCCTCCGGATTCTCGCCGGTAAGCTGCTCCGCCAGGATGCGGGCCTGCTCCCACAGGGGAGCCACCAACCCGAACAGCTTGCCCCGGTGCTGCGAGCATTCGCCGATGGCGTAGACGTTGCGGTCGTTGCGGCAGGAGAGGTCGTCCTGGATGACAATGCCGTGCTGTACGTGGAGACCCGCCTGCTTGGCCAGGTCGATGTTGGGACGGACGCCCGCTGCGACGACAATCATGTCGCACTCCAGTTCCTCGCCATCCTTGAACCGCAGGCCGCCAACGGGATCCCCCGGGAAGGGCGGTGTGATGGGCTGGGTCAGCTTTTCCAGGTGGATTTGCAAGCCCAGGTTCTCCAGGGACTGCTTGAGCATGGCGCCGGCCTGGGCATCCAGTTGACTGTTCATCAGGTAGTCGCCAAGGTGTGCCACGTGTACTTCCAGTCCCCGCTCCAGCAGGCCCTTGGCCGCTTCAAGGCCAAGAAGACCCCCGCCAACCACCACTGCCTTGCTAGCCGAACCCGCGTGACCGATCATCGCCTGGCAGTCTTCCAGGGTTCTGAAAGAGAAGACCCCGGGCCGCAGAAATCCGTCTTCGTCATACATGTTGTCTATCGGCGGTATATAGGGAGTGCTGCCCGTGGCAATAACCAGCTTGTCGTAGGGCTCAGAAATGCCCCCGGCGGCGTAGACTGCCTGCCCCATCCGGTCAATCCAGCCCGCCTTGACCCCGGAATACAGCTTTACCCCCTTCTCCTCGTACCAGGACAGGCCGTTGATAATGGTGTCTTCGGGCTGGTGGTAGCCCGCCAGAACGCTGGACAGGAGGATGCGGTTATAGTTTCCGCGGGGCTCCTCGCCGAACATCACAATGTCGTACAAGTCAGAGCCGCCCCGGGCCACAGTCTCTTCGACGAACCTGGCTCCGGCCATTCCGTTTCCAATTACTACCAGGCGTTCCTTTGTAGCCATTTTTACTCTCTCTCGGGTCTGACTTACTCTTGACTGGATTCCTGAACGATTCTTACGGCGCACACCTTGAATTCGGGCATCCTGCTGATCGGGTCAAGTGCCGGGTTGGTCAGGAGATTCGCCGACTGCTCGTGGGCCCAGTGGAAGGGGGCAAACACCGTGTCGGGCCGGATGCCGGCAGACAGGAGAGCCTTAAACCGGGCCGCGCCCCGCCGGGTCTCCAGGGTCAACATGTCCCCGTCTTCCAGGCCGAACCGTTCCGCCGTGGTGGGGTTAATCTCCGCCATGGGTTCCGGCGCCATCCCCTGCAGTTCCGCAATCCTCCGGGTCTGGGTACCCGACTGGTACTGGGCCAGGACCCGGCCGGTGGTCAGGTACAGGGGGTAGTCCTCGTCCGGCGCCTCTGCCGGCAGGCGGTGCAGGACCGGGTGGAACCTCGCCTTCCCGCCAGGCGTGGGAAAGCTTTCGGTAAACATCCGGGGCGTTCCGGGATGGTCAACGGAAGGGCAGGGCCAGAAGACGCCCTGGTTAGCTTCTATCTTTTCGTAGGTTATGCCCGAGTAGTCCGCCGCCCCGCCGGCGCTGGCGGCCCGCAGTTCCTCGAAAACTGCCTCGGTACTGGGGTAAGAAAACCAGCGACTCTTGTCCAACCGTTCGGCCAGGCGCTCCATCAGGTCCAGGTCGGTCAGCGTTCCTGTTGGCGGCTCAAAGGCCCGGCGACGGCGAATTACCCGACCCTCCAGGTTGGTCATCGTTCCTTCTTCCTCGGCCCACTGGGCAGACGGAAGTACCACGTCGGCCACCTGCGCCGTTTCGGATAGGAAGAAGTCCGACACCACCAGGAAATCCAGGGACTGCAACCGGTGCCGAATATTGTTTCCGTGGGGCGCGGACACCGCCACGTTGGAACCAAGCACCAATAGCGACCGGATTCCGCCTTCCGGCCCTAGAGAGTCCAGCAGTTCGTAGGCCGACTTTCCCGGGCCGGGAAGCTCCTCTTCCGGGAAGTCCCAAACGGCGGCGATGTGCCGACGTGCCGCGGGGTCGGCAATCAGGCGGTATCCGGGAAGCTGGTCGGCTTTCTGGCCGTGTTCCCGACCGCCCTGGCCGTTGCCCTGTCCGGTCAGGCACCCGTAGCCCGAATAGGGACGGCCAACCTTGCCCAGAGCCAGGGCCAGGTTGATAAAGGACAGGACGTTGTTTACTCCCTGGGCCTGCTGCTCGGTTCCCCGTCCAGTCAGCACCATGGCAGAACTGGCCCGTCCCAGCAGCCGCGCCGCCTGCAGCAATTCCGCTTCCGAAACGCCGGTAATTCTTTCCACCCGCTCCGGCCAATAGGTGGCGGCAATTTCCCGCACTCTCTCGAAGCCTTCGGTGCGGTCTCTGATGTAGTCAGTGTCAATCAGCCCGTCCCGTATGAGGAAGTGCAGCAAACCGTTGGCCAGGGCCGCGTCGCTGCCGGGCGTGAGGCGCAGGTGAAGGTCAGCGGCATTGGCGGTGGTGGTGCGGCGCGGGTCGGCCACAATCAGTTGGCCGCCATTGGCCCGCTGGGCCTCGAAGTACTGCATGATGGGGGGCATAGTCTCGGCCACGTTGCCCCCAGCCAGCAGGATTACCTCGGCCTGGGCAATGTCTTCCAGGGGAAAGGGCAGGCCCCGATCAATGCCCAGGGCCCTGATGCCGGCCGCAGCAGCCGAGGACATGCAAAAGCGGCCGTTGTAGTCAATGTTGGCCGTGCCCAGGGCTACCCGGGCAAACTTGCCCAGCAGGTAAGCCTTTTCGTTAGTCAGCGACCCACCGCCGAAAATGCCGACGGCATCGGCGCCATATTCTTCCCGTGTCTTCAGGAAGGATGTCGCGACCCGTTCCAGGGCCTCGTCCCATGTGGAGGCAACCAGGTCTCCGGCCTCATTGCGGACCAGGGGCGACAGGAGACGGTCGGAGTGAGCCAGGGTTGCGGCGGAAGTCCAGCCCTTGATGCAGAGGGCGCCCTTGTTAACCGGGAAGTTTCCATCGCCTTCGACGATTGCTTCTTCCCGGGTACCGGTAAGCACCATCCCGCACTGGAAAGCGCAGTAGGGACAGTGGGTTGCGGTTTCGTTTTGGTTAAGGGTGGCTGCCATTGCCGGTTGCGAACTCCCTGTGCAGGATCGATTGCAACCAGCTTATGAGAGGTTCTTTTCGTCGGTATGACGAAAATGTAACTAAGTTAAGAAAAGCGTGTAATCAGTGAGTAAATAGGGGATAGAGAAGAGGAGGCTAACCGGGGTCTACCATGCCGTAACCGACGTTCTTGACCGTGCGGAAGTACTGTTCGCCGTGAATTTCCAGTTTGCTGCGCAGCTTGCGGATGTGCACATCTACGGTTCGTGTTCCCCCGATGCTGTCGAAACCCCAGACGCTGGACAACAACATTCCCCGCGTAAAGACCCGACCCACGTTTTCCATGAGGAACTTGAGCAGTTGGAACTCCATCCATGCCATGGGAATCACCCGGCCGGCCAGCCGCACCTGGTAAGCGTTGGGTTCCAGGGTAATTCTTCCTACTTCCAGGAATGCGCCGGTGGCCGTGGCAACATTCCTGCGAGCCAGTCTCCGAAGCCGCCACTCCAACTCTGCCAGTGTGCAGGGCACCACCAGGAAGTCGTCGAAATCCTCACTGTCCGACAGAAAGGTCTCATTCTCCAGCTCTTCGAGGGTAACGCAGACCAGCACTGGAGGAATGTCAGCCGGATCGCTATAAAATTCGTCAGTGGCAAATGCGTGAGCGGAGTCGCAGCCCGGGGACATCATTATTACGGAGGGATCAACCAGGGAAAGAATTTCAGGAGTTCCCCGGTCCGAAGGCCCAACAAAGGTCAACGCTCCCCGGCTGGCCAGGGACTGCAGGGCAGCGCTGAGTGAATCCCATTGGTTGCCAATGAGCAGGACCCGGTCGGCAACGGTGGATTCCGCGTATCTTGATACGGTCACGGCGCCTCATGGACTGCGAGAATTGGCGGCGACTGCTGGGACACTCCCAGAATCACCCGCTAGCATGTAGGTAAGGCTTTACCATCTTATTCTGGTGCCGGTATGTTTCCGCCAAATTACGCAGTGGTTAACTCTTTGTAACAAGGGTACCTGCTGCGAGGCGCCCCACCACTCGAGGGCATGATAAAAGTTATAGACAAGCGTTGACGCTTGAATCTCAATGTATTAAACTAGATTTATAACATCGATGTTATTTATCACCGCAGACAATACTGTTAAGCCCTGATCAGGCTTTGGTTAGCGGGTTGCAAAGGAGGTAAATAATATGGTTTCCCTGGGAGGAGGCGTTTCAAACTCCATCCTTCATTTGCGAGGCAAGACCCATTTTCCGGTCCTCGCTGCCCTCGTATCCCTGGCAATTGTTGCAGGTTTGGCAGCTTTCGCCATGATCGGACATCAGCCTGCCTATGCGGCAGGACCCGACGGTACGGCCAACTCTCTGCCCGGTTGCGTCGGCATCAACAACAGCACGAAACCGGCGAAAGGGACAGACAACTTTCAGTTGGACCGCGACCCAAGAGTAATTTCCCCGATTGATCCCGCCATCGTAGGGGAGATGGCAGGACTCCACGACGGCACGCCACTGCCCCAGCAGTTAGAGCCTGCTCCGCAGAGAGAGGTCTATGTGTGGGCCGCATGCCTCACCGTGGAGGAACATTCGGATTCTTCGGAAACTTACCTTGGCTACATGCCAGGCCTTTCCCCTTCGAAAGGCGCCCTGTACTCGCCCAGATTCACCTACCGCGACATGGATTATAGGGTCAGGAATCTCTACTACCATGAAGCCGATACCGGCGACCGGCAGTTAGTCCTGGAATCCAATATTCCGTTGCCCGACAAACTCACTCTGTATTTGGGCAAAGACGAATTCCCTCTCTCGACTTCAGAACCCTTTGGCAAGGGGCCGAATGTCCGAGTCTGGAGGCTCGACGACAGCCTGGACTGGACCCAGGATCAAGCTGTCCTGGTATTGCTGAGGGAATCCTATGGGTTGCCAATGAGCAAGGCAGGCTCGGCAGCAGTCGGTTACCCGCATCTTGAAGCGGTCGCGCTGCCCTCTGGACTGCAAGAATCGGAGGCCACCGGCACGCACTAGCCCCGTCAGGTCCGGCGAAAGGACATCAAGCCGCCACCCCATGCTGCTGGCGGCTTGATCCGTCAAACGGCATTGCGGTTGACGCTGGCTGGCTGGTGGACCACCAGGACACACCATCACAGGAGAGTTCAATGTAAGTCGTAGACACTCATCGACCTTTGAGTCACATACCATTAAAAACCCTTATTAGTATTGTTCCTATCATTACTGCAACCGAAACCTTCAGGCCACGTTCAGGCCAAAATAAACGGATTGGAAAGGAGGTAAATCATATGAAGTCCCCCGGAGGAGGTGTTTCTAACTCCATCCTTCACGTGCGAGGCAATGCACACTTTCTCAGGCTGGCAATCATACTGGCTTTCGGGATAACCACAGCCTTGATGGCCTTCGCCACGGCAGGACAACCAACGGCCCACGCCGCGGGACTAGACGAACCGGGGCAAATTCAGTCCCTTCACGCCAGCAACGGCGACCTGCCAGCGCTTCCAGGCGGAAACAGCGACGAGGGTATTGGCAACAACCCCAAGCTGATTTCCCCCATGGATCCCACCGTGATAGGTGAACGGGGCAGTGCCGGCTGCGGCAGGCCGCCGAAGCCCATAATTCCGATTCCGCAGGAAGACGAAATTGTCTGGGAAGCTAACTTGACCGTGGGAGTGGCCTCAGATTCGACTATAACCTATCTTGGTTATGCTCCTTCCTTGTCCCCCGATGGTGGCGACCTGGATGTCACGACCTTCTCTCATGATGGAGTGGACTACACGGTCAGGGGTATTTACCTGCAGGAATCCATTGGTGGTTTTCGGCAGTTGATCTTCGACGG